ATATTAGATTCAAGATAAATGGAATATGAAGACGGTACTAACAACAGGACTCTGCATCCAGCCACTTATAGGAACGACGTAATCTGTTGGCTTCAAGGGTGACACTTTCGGTGCTTTAGGGGACGGCTCTCCATCGGTCTCCATTTTCACCGAGTCACCTCCGTCTGACAAGGTTTCAACCTGATGCCTTGGAGTAAGGCTCTTTACAGCAGCATCAACTGATAATGCAATAGTCTCTTCTTGAAGGGTAGTAGCGCCGTGAATTGGGGTATACATCCTATTTGATTCACCCCCATAATCAACCGGGATAGTCTCTTCATTGAAGACATGAGAATCCGGCCTTGTTGTTTCTCGTTCAAATAAATAGCGATCGATTTGGAGTGGGCTTTTCCTACGGACAAGTGGGTTCCTCTTTATTGGCCTTGCAGTTGGGTTGACGATGACAGCTATCGAATTTATGTTAATATTGGCAGTGGGTTCAAGCTTTTATATACCTGAAGCAGTACTAGGTGGAGGAAGTTCGATGTTTGGTTGAGTTACGCGCTTGATAGGGTTCTTGTTCACTTTCGGTGGAGAAATGGGGTCAATCTGACTGCTGACAACGGGTATTGAAGAGGTCGGTTGGGTAAAAGTTTCATTGGTCATGTTGAGTCCAGGAATGCTGGTACCGGATGACGATGAATAGTAGCCTCTTTGTTTGCGTGGGGAGATCTCCAATGCCTGAATCAAGTATCCATTCTTAGATTCATCCAGGGTTTCTTGACCGTCTTCACCTGTTATCACTTGAGTTGGAACCAGAACCTCGTCACTAGCCCTAATACTTTGCGTGGCGATATCTGTACCATCGTCTGGATAATTTAGTAGAGCCTGACCGTCCCGTCTGAGTTGGGACATGTCCAGTGCTTTATCTGACTGAGAAAACTCAGACGTGGATGATGGTGTACCAACCACCAGTGTAACGGGTTGAGTCTCCTCCTCCAGCTCATCGTCTCTTCCCTCTGAAACCGCATTCTGATGGGGAATATGATCACTCTGTGATTGAGAATGAACGGTGATTCCTGGAGGATTCACGCCGACAACTCTTTGAGCCATTACGCGAAAGCTCGCTTCAGCATGGCCTCGATGGAAGCGTGACCACGAACGGTACTCTCGAGAAGACAAGGATGACTGAGTCTCTGCATCAGTAGACCGCTCCGGAGATCCTTGAACGGCAGAACCCTTTTGTGTCTTCTTTTGGTTTTCGACTAAATCGTGAAGGAAGGCTATTGGAAATTCTTGGCGCTCGAGGGATTCGTTAAGCTCAGGCATTGAGCGTGTAGCTGCGAGGGCACTAGAGATCTCGATAGGGGAAATATGTTCGTCGTCGGACCGTTCATCAACTTCATCCAATGCGAGAGGCAGTCTGCTTCCTGTGGCTTTGGAGGGAGAGGGTTCGAGACCTCTTTTGGACGCTAGAGGAGTTGACCTCCCTTTTGCCGATGGTTTCTTTGCAGAACGTCTCGCCATTGCTGAGGTAGCCCTATGAGGACTGACTGCGCCTAGATTGGTCTCATATTCGAGAGCATCTCGGCGAACAGGCTCAAGAGGTACAGATAATGCGCGAGAAGGAGATTTCCCAGGGGTCACAGTAACATGCAATGAGTGCTCAGGTCGAGGAGGAGGCGTTCGAGGGACGGAAAGGAGGTGTGGATTCATAAAGGCGCCAGTTGAATTTTCATCGGGGTTGTGGGAGGGGCTATCCTGTTTGAGTTGGATTTTCTGAGCTGGTGTATCATCAGTAGAACTTGGGGGAGGTCGTGTTGCAGTTGAAGAAAAGGAATCGAGGACCTGTCAAATGGTTAGGTTGGCTGAGGAATCACGAATCGCTAAGGGGATACTGACGGTCATGTTCGAAGGCGCTTGCCTAGCAATCGTATTATTGGGTCTTGAGTCTTCGCTTGAACTATCTAGTACGAGAGCCCGTCGTCGAGCGGTCGCGTCGTCTTGAGGAGAAATTGTACGGCTGGAATGCAGGTCGATGGTCGAGCTTTTCTCTCTAGTCGCCGGCTCAGGGGGATATTGAGGAAAGCGATGAGCTAGGGGGCTTATAGAAGCTCTTTAGGGATGAAAGAAAAGCGTTAGCGGAGAGAACCTGAACAAAATCTATCTAGTTCTAGCTAGGCAAGAAGTGGCAATCAGAGAGCCTGACTTTGCCAGAACTCACCTAGGGGTCCTTGCATCTTCTTCTATCGCGTTTATATCTGATTTTGACTGCGGCATCAGCCGCTTGTTAAAGCCAACGTCGAACCAAGAAAGTAAGGGGAAGCACGTGAAGGCCAAATACTGACAAACACTATTAGCCACCTGGAGATAGAAGTCTCCATCTCCAAATGAACAAGTAATTGCGCTTTAATGAAGGGGATTTCTCTAGCCAGATTCAAAGTTTCTACATTCGAGTATCTCCTGCTCAGAAGTCGATCCAAGTCTCATAAAAACAGATTCAAAGTGGAATACAAGTTGAGCAAATATACGTTTCTATTCAAAGAGCTTTGTGATCAATATACGTTGGTCTTCAAATCTTCCAGGAAACCTATCTCGCCAGAATCTCAGCAAATGCGAACCCATCGGTAAGAAACAGATAAAATTATCTCAAAAACAAGTATCATATGACCGAACCTACTGGAAGAATATCCGATAGTTTCGAGGGAGGAAGCAGGTGCCACGTTGGCATTTAGCCAAGTAGAATTTTGGCAGCCGACCACGTAGCGGATTCAGCAATACTGGGTCTATAAATCCCAACTAATCACTTCACCATCCTTTATTTACTGTCCTCGTATCAGTGACACCCTCTCCTTCTTCTGCATAACGTCCTAGCGAACACCTTTCTGCCGCCACCTGGCATCCTTGCGACTCCGACCATCCATATCAACGCCCCGTGAACAATGGCAAGATCACTCTTACAACTATTCCTTTTTCTCGCCCTATTCCTAGTGTACGTCAATGCTGGGAGAGACTTTTATAAGATTTTGGACTGTATGTGTGGCTCTTATCGAGTGTGCTGGAGCATCCGCTAACGGCCATTACTTTCTCAACCCGCTTCCTCATTTGATATTCAAAATCGTAAATATACTCTACAGTGCACCGCTCTGCGTCAGAGGCAGATATCAAGAAGGCATACAAGAGGTTGAGCAGAAAGTTCCACCCGGACCGAAATAAGGATGCGGGTGCGGAAGAGAAGTTTGTAGAGATAACACAGGGTGAGTGTGGCTCAACATTCAGAGGTATCCGGCCTAATATAAATCAACAGCTTACGAGGCACTCTCGGATCCCAAGGTGATTTATGCCAATGTGTGACGTCTGCTGTATGCTGACATTATCTAAGAAACGTCAAATCTATGATCGTCACGGAGAGGAAGGATTAAAGGCTCATGAAGGTGGCCAACACGCCACAAACCCCTTCGACGTCTTTGCCAACTTCTTTGGAAGGGGAGCAGCTCACCAGGACTCTGTCAGACGTGGACCGACTATGGTTTCCGAATTTGAGGTTACTCTCGCGGACATTTATATGGGTAACAGCGTCGACTTTATGATCAAGAAGAAGATTCTTTGCGACCACTGCCGTGGAACTGGTGCCCAGACTGATGGAGATATCAAAAATTGCCCAACATGTAATGGGTCTGGAATCAAAGTTGGACGACAGGAAATGTTTCCTGGAATGTTCGTATCTACTCAGACTACTTGCCCTCAGTGCAGCGGCAAAGGCAAAGTTATTGCAAGAGTTTGCAAGCATTGTGGAGGACAAAAAGTCATTGATCACACTGGCCACTACAACCTTGACTTGGAGAAAGGTATGCCAGAAGGTCACGAAGTCGTGTTTGAAGGAGAGGGCGATCAGTCCGCGGAATGGGAAGCTGGCTATAGAAATTCCCTTCATTAAAGCCCAATTACTTGTTCATTTGGAGATGGAGACTTCCATCCCCAGGTGGCT